ATGGGGCCACGAAACGTGTGAGGGGTGTGCCGAAATGGAGGTGGAACTGCATGCGGACCGTGCCACTTGGGCCTTAGGCGGGGCTCCCTATGACGCCACGAAACGTGTGAGGGGTGCGCCGAAATGGAAGTGGAACTGCATGCGGACCCTGCCACTTAGGCCTTAGGCGGAGCTCCCTATGGGGCCACGAAACGTGTGAGGGGTGCGCCGAAATGGAGGTGGAACTGCATGCGGACCCTGCCACTGGGGCCTTCGGTGGAGCACCCTAAGGGGCCACGAAACGTGTGAGGGGTGCGCCGAAATGGAGGTGGAACTGCATGCGGACCCTGCCACTGGGGCCTTCGGCGGAGCACCCTATAGGGGCCACGAAACGTGTCAGGGGTGCGCCGAAATGGTGGTGGAACTGCATGCGGACCCTGAAAAAAAACACTTGGCCTTTCGGTTGGAGCTCCCATGGGGCCCACGAAACCGTTGAGGGGTGCGCCGAAATGGAGGTGGAACCGCATGCGGACCCTGACACTTGGGCCTTCTTTCGGTGGAGCTCCCTAAGGGGCCACGAAACGTGTAGGTGCGCCGAACTTGAGGGAGGAAACCGCATGCGGACCCTGACACTTGGGCCTTCGGTGGTGCTCCCTATGGGGCCACGAAGCGTGTGAGGGGTGCGCCGAAATGGAGGTGGAACCGCATGCGGACCCTGACGCTTGGGCCTTCGGTTGGGCTCCATATGGGGCCACGAAACGTGTGAGGGGTGCGCCGAAATGGAGGTGGAACCGCATGCGGACCTTGACACTTGGGCCTTCGGTGGAGCTCCCTATGGGGCCACGAAGCGTGTGAGGGGTGCGCCGAAATGGAGGTGGAACCGCATGCGGACCCTGACACTTGGGCCTTCGGTGGAGCTCCCTATGTGGCCACGGAACGTGTGAGGGGTGCGCCGAAATGGAGGTGAGAAACCAACGCATGCGGAACCCTGACACTTGGGCCTTCGGTGGAGCTCCCTATGGGGCCACGGAACGTGTGAGGGGTGCGCCGAAATGGAGGTGGAACCGCATGCGGACCTTGCCACTGGGGCCTTCGGTGGAGCTCACTATGGGTCTACGAAACGTGTGGCCATGATGGAGACGGCGATGATGATGACGACGATGGTGATAAGAACGATGATGATGATGATGATGTTGATGATGACGGTGACGATGACGATGATGATGATGCTGATGATGATGAGAGGAGGAGGAGGAGGAGGAGGAGGAGGAGGAGGGGAGGAGGAGGGAGGAGGAGGAGGAGGAGGACGAGGAGGAGGAGGAGGAGGAGGAGGGGGAGGAGGAGGAGAGGAGGAGAGACGCGGGGCACCGTCTCTTCAAAACGAGGACCCAACACCACAGGATGGTTGGGAATAAACACAACTCCCAGGATTCTTAATATTTTCAGGGTTTTCGCCCCCCCCCCCCACCACCACACACACACACACACACACACACACACACACACACACACACACACACACGCGCACACACAAACTTTTCATGTTTTCTTACCTTCTTGGGAATGGACGAGTCATTGTGTCTGTGGGTTTTCTCCCTCCTGAATCTCGTCTGGAAGACCACACGAACATAGAAGCTTTCGGGGGTCTGAACGCGGAGTTCTGAGGCTGGCGCGGGGCCACCCCCCCCCCCCCTGGCGCGCGAAAAGCGGGCGGAGTGCGATCGGGGCGGCTCCGAAGGCGCAGGAGCAGGAGGAGGAGGAGGAGGAGGAGGAGGAGGAGGAGGAGGAGGGGGACGAGGAGGAGGAGGAAGAGGAGGAGGAGGAGGAGGGAGCGGGTGCTCATGGGGTTGGCCCAAATGGGGGGGGAGAAAGGGGCCCCAAAGGGGCCCTTCAGGGCCCCTTTTGGGGCGAGCTGGTGCCTGAGAGGGGCGCCAAAGGGCCTCTTCGGGGTCCGTTTTCTCCACCCCCCAAGTGGGCCATACCCCATCACCACCCGCCCGAGCCGCTGGGGGGGCGGGAGGATCCGAGCTCTGGCCCAGGAGATCTGGGCGGACCCTCAAAGTCCGGAGGTCGTGGCATCCAGCCACCTCCTCCTCCTCATCCTTCTCCTCCTCCTCCAAACCCCTCCCCCTCCTGCTCCTCCTCCTCCACCCCCCCCCTCCCCCTCCTCCTCCTCCTCCCTCCCCTCCACCCCTCCTCCTCCCCTCCTCCTCCTCCTCCTCCACCTCAAACACAGATATATTTCGCCAACCTCCTAATCCGCTTACGTCCCTATATACCACTCCTCCCTCAGAGCGTGGCCCCCCAGAGACCGGGCCCCGCCGCCCGACCCCCAGTGTCGTTCCCAAAATTGACGCGATCCGTCGCACAGGCGGTCGAAAGGAATCGCATCGGCGGAGATCGGCACCCAGGCCGGGCAACATCGCATCGGCGGACGTCGGCAGGCGAGTACAGTCGGGGCGTTGACCTAAGGAACGATAATGTGGGATGACGATTAATAAAAAATGGAGGGGGACACTTGAAAAAAATTAGCCTGGCGAAGGACCCAACCATATGCAGTTGAGAGTACCGCAATTGTGAATATCTTCTCGGTGGAGCTCCCTATGGGGCCACGAAACGTGTGAGGGGTGTGCCGAAATGGGTGTGCGGGACGCATGCGGACGGCAGCACTGGGGTCTTCGGTGGAGCTCCCTGTGGGGCCACGAAACGTGTGAGGGGTGTGCCGAAATGGGTGTGCGGGACGCATGCGGACTGCAGCCATGGGGCCTTCGGTGGAGCTCCCTATGGGGCCACGAAACGTGTGAGGGGTGTGCCGAAATGGGTGTGCGGGACGCATGCGGACGGCAGCACTGGGGCCTTCGGTGGAGCTCCCTGTGTGCCCACGAAACGTGTGAGGGGTGTGCCGAAATGGGTGTGCGGGACGCATGCGGACGGCAGCCATGGGGCCTTCGGTGGAGCTCCCTATGGGGCCACGAAACGTGTGAGGGGTGTGCCGAAATGGGTGTGCGGGACGCATGCGGACGGCAGCACTGGGGCCTTCGGTGGAGCTCCCTGTGGGGCCACGAAACGTGTGAGGGTGTGCCGAAATGGGTGTGCGGGACGCATGCGGACGGCAGCCATGGGGCCTTCGGTGGAGCTCCCTGTGGGGCCACGAAACGTGTGAGGGGTGTGCCGAAATGGGTGTGCGGGACGCATGCGGACGGCAGCACTTGGGCCTTCGGTGGAGCTCCCTGTGGGGCCACGAAACGTGTGAGGGGTGTGCCGAAATGGGTGTGCGGGACGCATGCGGACGGCAGCCCTGGGGCCTTCGGTGGAGCTCCCTATGGGGCCACGAAACGTGTGAGGGGTGTGCCGAAATGGGTGTGCGGGACGCATGCGGACGGCAGCACTGGGGCCTTCGGTGGAGCACCCTGTGGGGCCACGAAACGTGTGAGGGGTGTGCCGAAATGGATGTGCGGGACGCATGCGGACGGCAGCCATGGGGCCTTCGGTGGAGCTCCCTGTGGGGCCACGAAACGTGTGAGGGGTGTGCCGAAATGGGTGTGCGGGACGCATGCGGACGGCAGCACTGGGGCCTTCGGTGGAGCTCCCTGTGGGGCCACGAAACGTGTGAGGGGTGAGCCGAAATGGGTGTGCGGGACGCATGCGCGACGGCAGCCATGGGCCTTCGGTGGAGCTCCCTATTGGGCCACAAACGTGTGGAGGGTGTGCCGAAATGGTGTGCGGGACGCACTAGTGCGGACGGCAAGCACTTGGGCCTTCGGTGGATCTCCCTATGGGGCCAAGGAAAACGTGTGATGGTGTGCCGAAATGGGTGTGCGGGACGCATGCCAGGACGGCAGCCGATGGGGCCTCGTTGGAGCTCCCTATGGGCCACGAAACTTGGGGGGGGTTTGGGGGGGTGGGGTGGGGGGGGAAGGGGTGTCCGAAAAGGGTGTATTGACGCATGCGGAGGCAGCCCTCGGGCCTCGGTGGAGCTCCCCTATGGGTCCACGAACGTGTGAGGGTGTGCCGAAGTGGGTGATGACGAATGACGATGATGATAATGACAATACGATGATGATGAGATGATGATGATGAATAAGAATGATGATATGAATGAGATGATGCGATGATGATGATGATGATGATGATGATGATGATGATGATGATGATGATGATGATGATGATGATGATGATGACGAGGATGATGATGATGATGATGATGATGATGATGATGATGATGATGATGGGAGGAGGGAGGAGGGGGAGGAGAGAGGAGGAGGAAGAGGTGGGACGCGGGGCGCTGTCTCTTCAAAACGAGGACCCAACACCACAGGATGGTTGGGAATAATTGTCTGCTATTTCTGAATAATTTTCTGACTGGAGAAGAACGATTAAAACGAATAGTTTTCCAGCCCGCGGCCGGTTTTTTCTAATCGTCATCCCGGGCGCCGCCGCGTGAACACGACCCCTGGTCATATATTAGCCTTCATCCTCCATTAAATAAGGTGCGAGGCCCCTTTTCCCCAGAAGTTAAACTCAGATCTCCCATGGAAGACCTGGGGAAAACCCCAGGAGCGCTGCAAAACAGCCAAGAATCACGGAGCCCCTCCCCAACGAAAAGGGTTCCTTCTTCAGGGCCCCGGCTGTAGGCTTCCGTGGAGGAGTCGGAGCCCAAATCGGAATCCGAAGTCGAATCGAATCGGAAGCCGAGGCCATCGGAATCGAACCGAGTCGAATCGGAGGAATCGAGACGAGCCCTGGCCGAGGGGCGGCGCCGAAGACGCCGCTCCCCCCGCCGCCGTGTAAGTGTCTCGGGGCGCTCGCCCCCCACTCGTCAAGTCGACTTGCATGCCCCCCTCGCACCGCCTACGGATGCCCCAGATGTATGAAGGGGCCCTGGGACACACAAATAAATACACACAAATAAAAATAGCCCCTATAGTTTCCAATATGTTCTTGCTTTTTGTCTTCCCCCCACTTCCCATATTTTTATATTTTCTGAGGAGTCGACGATTAATTGTGTCTGTGTGGTTCTTTTTCTCTTGAATGTAGAAGTGATGCTTGTCTTCTCTCCATATGTCTCATTTCGCCCAAGTTGGCGCAAGGCGGCACCAGAACAGTCCGTTGGGCTGCAGCACCCTTCTTCGAGGACTGCGTGCTCACAGTTCGAGATTAATCCGCCCCAGCGCGGCGAGCGCCTCGCGGCCGGCTTCGCCGAACGTGTTGCGCTGAATTCTCAGCGTCATCACCTGCGGCGCCACTCTGGACGACAGCGCCTCCGCCAAAGCAATCGCACCCGCGTCCCCGATCCTGTTATCCCTCATCTGCAGCTGCTTCAGCTGCGGCGCCGCCCCGGACGAGAGCGCCTCCGCCACGGCGCTCGCACCCGCGTCCTCGATGCCGTTATGATTCATGATCAGCTCCCTCAGCAGCGGCGCCGCCCCAGAGGACAGCGCCTCCGCCAGGGCGCTGGCGCCCGCGTCCCCGATGTCGTTCTGGTTCACGTTCAGCACCTCCAGCTGCGCCGCCCCGGCCGGCAGCGCGGCCGCCAGGGCGCTCATGCCCGCGGCGCCGATGCCCGTGTTCCACATCTCCAGTTTCTTCAGCAGCGGCGCGGCACCGCAGGCCAGCACCCTGGCGAGCGCCTGCGCGTCGGCGACGTCCCACTGGAGGGTGTTGTAGTGCAGCTCCGCGGCCTCGGCGAAGCGGGCGACGAAGGCTGCCCTGTAGATGGCCGCGACCCTGGAGCAATCGGCCTTCTTGCTGGTGAAGGACTTGTGCTCCAGCGACGCCGCGAAGTCTTCTGGAAGCATCGGCCCAGCCCTGTCAGCCTGTGCAGCTTGCTTCCAGCTTGTCAAAGCTTGTGGCTTACTTGGGAGCCCGCCAGTAGTAGCAGCAGCAAGCTTGTCCTGATCTAGCACCTCGATGGATTCGTTCTCTGGAGCAGCGGTGATCTTGCCGATATCCAAAACAAACATCGAAGCCTTCGTGAGCCCCGCGACGGACGACTCGCAGTGGCACCATCCCCGCTGGTAGTAGTCGGCCGTGTTCGGCGTGCAATCCTGCGGGAAGGTGAAGCCGTCTGGATAGCCCTCGGGCAGCCTGGAAACCTTGAAAATCCGCCGACCCCTTGTGGGTCGCTAGGCGTGTGAGATAGTTTCCCCCCCCATAACCCCCTCCAGGGACCCCAAACCGGAGATTCGACCACCCCCCCCCGGCCCCCGACGGCCCCGGACAGAGCGCGCCATGGGGGAGCAGAGGGCTCCAAAACGGGCCAAGAGGGCACTTTGACGCCTCTCAAACGGCCCAAGAGACCCACGAGTCGCCGAAAGATTGAGCCAAGACGTCCAAGATGACATCCAGACGGCCCAACATGCCTCCAAGACGCTCCCAGACGGCTCCAACAGGCCCCAAGAGGCGCCCAAGAGGCGTCCCAAGAGGGCCCCAAGAGGCCAAAATCATCGATCTCGCATTGGGAAACGTATATTTTTAACATATACGGCTTTTCAGCTTTGACGGCGTTCAAGACCGGCCAAGAAGCCCCCAAGACCGCCCCAAGACGGCCCAAGAGGCCCCCCAGAGGTCCCCAAAACGGCCCAAGAGGGCGCCAAGACGGCCCAAGAGGCGCCCAAGACGGTCCAAGAGGGCCCCATGACGGCCCCAAGAGGGGGACCACGAACCGAAAATCCAAACCACTCGCCCCGACAATGTCCCAGGAGGCCCCACGAAGTCCCCAGGAGGCCCCCAAGAGGATCCC